CGGTGGCCTCCCCCCCAAAATTCCCTTCATCAGGTTCCATCTGCAGCAGCCAACATGCACTGCATTAGTGGGAGTGAAGAAGCCAAATGCACAAAACTAGCCCCTGTCATTAAACACTGGCTCAGTCACTTGCTAGGAGAGGTTCGCTGCAGAACCTCATCATATCTCTGCCTTTGGAACCTTAAAAATAATACATGAAGTGTTTGCATACTTTTCTGTTGGAAAGACATTAATAACACCATGGCGAAAAACAGAGTTTCTGCCAAACACAAGGTCAAGTCCTAAATTTGTTAATTGCCAAAAAAAAACTAGGCTCACTTTAGCTACAACTATTTTTACCTGTACACACTAATAATCAGAATATCTTTCTAGACAATGGAAAGTACCCCTCCCACGAAGTACCTTCTCACATAAGGATGTGAAGTACTCATCCTAGCAGCACAAGTAAAAGTAGACGTAAAAATGGCTTTATCTTTGATGTTCTGGATGTGAAAAAAACTTAATTATGCAACTCAGCGCCCAGAAAAAATATGTTAAATACTCAGAAAATATATATTTTTAACATTTTTTAAATTGTCAATACTGTTTTGAAAAATAATTAATGTACACCTTTGCTAGTAAGCTGTTTCTTGACAGCAAAGATACAAATTCTGTATTTTTAAATTATTGAATGTGTTTCTTGCTAAAAAAAACAAAGGGAATGCAATAAACATGAAATGATCACCATTGGATTTTAGGTCCAAAGTTCCTCTTAGAGAAACAAGTCCAGTTTCCCTTCTAGCCAAAATACTATGACTTCCAGCATATCTACAACCACTGCTGCCCCTGTCCAGGCATGAGGGAGAGGGAGGTTGTATGTCAGTGCATGCACAGAGTGCTGTGTCTACCCTGTTCCCTTTCAGTGGCCAGCCAGGGGGTTGCCTGTTTGCCTTGCTGTGCCTGCCCTGCTCTGGGTGAAGGAGAGCCCTGAGCTGGGAAAGTCTTCTGAATTTTCTGGAGCATGGGGGCATGACCGCATAGGGAGGAAGCCTGCGGCAAGGGCAGATATTAGGAGATGCCTGAAAGAAGCTGAAAATGAAAGACCCAAGTCTCTGAAGCAATAGAAAAATTTCTTTCTTAGTGACTCAGAGGCACCAAGGGTGAGGTTGTGCAAGACATCTGGGACAATCTGACAGCTTGCTGCCACTGAAAGTGTGTATTTGGTGCTGCTTCAAAAAGCTGGGGGCGTCAGACAAACACAAGAGCTCATGCAAAAGAAAGAGCAGACAACTGCAGTCAGAAGAGGGAAGTAAGCCTAGCCTTTGGAGCAGCCATGAGCTCAAATTTTTCAGGAATATTCAGCCTGTGTGGGGCCTGATGCAACCCAAAATGCCACAAAATATTGCTAGACTGAGACAAAGAACTGTGAGTAGAAAGGTCTGTTATATTATTATGTTCTCACTCAGTTGAAACTGAGTTTCTGTATCTTAAATATTGATTGCCCTAGTTTAGCTAAAGGTAAATGTAACCTTTAGAAGTTTATAGCCCTCTAGGCGATTATGGGGTGTACGTTGTAAAGAAACAGTCTAGTTAGGTTTACCTCTAAGCTATGGACAACTGGAGATCCTTTCACAGTTATCTTAAAGATATCTTAGTCTGGATTATTTGGGATGAAAAAGGCCAGGGAGCAGCTCCCCAAGGAAATTTGAGGGAACATTTGTCTTTTGCAGAGATGAGTGAAGGCAACAACAACCTATGTTGCCTAAAGAGAATGTGTGTCCCTAATCCTTATAAACAGCAATTATCACTTCACATTCAGAAATGTATAATTACCACTCTAAAGCCTACATACAGACTCAGAAAAGACACACAGGAAATTGAAAACTAATCTGTATGAAAATGCTATAAATAACTAGTTTGAGGTTAAAGCAAAAAGTTTTCCCCTTAGCCTTGATTTGAAAAGGTACAAATGGGGCAGGACATGAGGTTGATATCAATCTTCTGGAAGATAATTTTTTCCTTCTCTTTAATGGGATTGGAAGTAAATACAAAATAAACATTTTACTAGAAACAGATAGTTCCATGAACTATAAATGAAACTAAAAAACCAAGCAAGGAAAAATATTAAGAATTGTGTGTCTTAGGAAGGGACTTTTATTACAGTCAAGGTTTCCAGCATGTACACCCAGAAGCACAAATAGGCTGAGAGGTCAGAAGAAGGAAATCCTTTAAGTAGGGTCGGGTAACATCAGCTGAGAAACTAGAAGATCTCACAAATCAGAAAAGACTGATTACTATATGCCTAGAAACAAATGGATAGTAGCCTGGAATGACAACTTAGTCAAAAGAAAGTATAATTTATCAATTTCTGAAAAGAAAATATTTTAAAAATTGGAGGAATCAGTTAAAAGTGACAGTCTTCACAGGCTAGATAATTCAAGTCCCACCCAAAGCTTTTACTGCTCTTCAGAGGTATTTCTGTGCAAACATTATCTCCTAATAACCAAAACCAGTTTTGGCCTTTTAACAATCAGGAGAGTCTGAGCTCATCTCTCCAAGTCATATTGCAATAATTTCTGTGAAAAACGTTGTTTTAGAAGCCAGAAGTCCTTTCCCTCTGTTGAGCTAAAAGTTAGGCTGCATCTCTCTAAGCTTAGTCATCATTCACCATCACATCATCTAATTGAGTTGAATGCTGGCCATGTTACATTTAAAATGAGTCACATAAAGCATTTTCTAACACAGTTCTTTTAAGATTGGTTGAAACTTTGAGATGTTACAACTCAGAGATCAAATTATCTTTAAAACACTTTTGATATTTACATAAGACCTCACAATTTTATACCTTTCCTGTGTGAGAAAAAAAATTTCAAGTTGAGCATTAAGTGGATGTAATGCAGATCAAATATAAACTTCTCTTTTTTATTTTTAGTTCAAATGACCTGTTAAGTTTTTTCTCTAAATGACTGGGAGAAAACATAAAGGTAACCAGTAATCCCAAATGCTGGGATTTAAAGGCATCGGAAGGGAGAGGAAAAGGGTCCAAGATTCTGGGTGGCAGGTGTACTTGTACCTCCAGCCAGCACCTAGGAAAGACCTACATCCTGCAAGAGGAAGTCTATGGAAACACAAGTCCTTCTGCCCTCCTTCATGGAACAACTCCTGATCCTGTACCTTCGCAGCAGTCTGAAGTCACCATTAACCTGTCATGGGCATTATTGCTCTGTCATGTGCAGTTACACACTTCTGGACTGCAGCAGTGGACACTTCATCAAGCAAGAAAGATTTATTTTAGGAAAGCTGATGAGAATCACATCATCACTCCTGGTTCAAAAGCATTTCAGAGTTTCCAAAGTTTCTGGGCTGCTAAGGCCCCTCAGGCTGCTAAATGCCTTTGCAGGGAAAAAACCCAATAGATCTTGAGATGTCCCCTTTTCATTTTAGTAAAAGCCTTTTGAGTATTTCAGGGATGGTTTCCCATTTTTTGTCAGTCTTGTTCCTTTGTTCGACTCCTTGTCCAACTCCTTGTAGACACTGAGATTGCACACTGCTTTCTGTTATCTAGATAGCTTTTGATATCACCATGTAGTAAATAGAAAAGGATCTGTACTAAGTATTAGGTCAAAATGTTATTAATTCCAAAATTATGGGTCATGGTGGCTTGTCTCTTTTTATCCACAGAAGCCCAGAATAAGATGAAGTCCTTCTCTTCCGGAAATGAAAACCTACAAACCCAGAATCGTCAAGTTCAAACAAACATACCTCTCCAAGCAAAGCAATTTCACATGGGCAGCTCTTGCACAGACATTTAGAAAATCTGACTGGGAAGTAGGTTGTGAGTGGCCCATCAAAGATGAATGTACAGCACTTCTCATTATTCCTGCCAGGGAGGCATGAGGCAGGGCCCAGCACTTAGTGCCCATCCCATCCTCCAGCCAGGTGCAGGGTAGCTGGGAGCACCAGGGCGGGATTCAAACACTTTCCTGGGAAAAAGTGATGGGCTGAGGATTGGCCGGCATGTGGGTCTGTGGATGGGTTCAGCTTGGCAGGGCTGCTGGCCAGACAGCGCAGACTGTGAGGAGCTGAAGTCTGATTCTGCTGAGGCATCACTGGAGCAGGGGATGACAGCCCCAGGGGCTGATATGGGATCCTGGGTCATGGGCATGGTGGGGGCAGTCCTGAGGACCACTTGGACAGGGACTTAACAATTTTCCAATTTTTTTAATTATATTTTTGGTTGCTGATTGCTCTGTTTTTAATCTTAGTTCAGTGTAAGTGTCCGACAGATAGATCTGTCTGGGAATATGTCAGAGAAATCCCTCTTCCAAGGAACTGAATTCCCTTTGCCAGACAGACATTTCCTTAGTTTTTCTGGTTTCTCAAAAGAATGGTTGTGACAAGAGGTCATGCAGCAAGTTTTGCATAGATGTAAGCAAGGACACTGACATAAGCAAGGAGGGTGTGGAAAACATAACTATGTAGTATAAATGTATTTATTGTTGAATAAAGCCACTTCACGCTAATTTAGTTACAGGATCATCAAGGGGCTTCTTTCCCCTGATCCTCTCATTTGAATGTCATGGTCCTTCCTACTTGCCACTTACTTTCCCAGAGAGGCCAATGGGAGCAAAACACTTCAGAAAACATATAGTTGTTCGTTGCTTAAGAGTTCATGACTGTAAGAGCTCAAGAAGTCCCACCCTTCATCAATGTGTGAAGCCAAAGTGCCAAAGGCTTTTCTGACCTGTCAACACCATGGTAGCCATGTCAGATCTAAAACCAGACTATCATGTTCTCCCTATACACAGACATTTGTGGGTTTAGATCCACACCATATATCCATGTAAAGTCCACTGTGTGTCAGAAGGAGAGACTCTGTGTTGGTCTCTCTGCCTCACCACTGAGCGCTGCAGAGGCCTTATTAACCATTTCAGGCCATGGAGCAGACACAGGGAGGCCGCTAGACTGGTGCTATGATGTTTGTGCACCATATCCCTCCTGGAAGAACACCAGGCATTCACTCGAGGTATACACACATTTTATTTGGTTACATCAAGCAAAGCACATGCCCTAGACCCAGGACCCACCAAAGAATTACCACCCAAATTCTTGGAGATACCAGATAGTCCTTAAAGGGGTTTTTCTGTTCTCTCATGGGAAGGAAAAATGGGGACTATCCACGTTTGGAGAAACATCTTTGGAACATGACTTGCTGTCATGCTACTCATCTGCTTATTTTCAGGCCTTGCAGTACACATCATATTTTATCTTTGCTGCCATCTTTGTTCCTCCTAGAGTATCTTCAAATTTCCGGTACATTTCTTCATTCTGAGCCTCAGAGAAGAGATCTTTCCAGCTTCCAACAACCCCTGTGTAAAACAAGTACAAAAAACTGAAGGAAGATGCTCCTGGGAGAAAATAATACCTACACAGCAACGGGACAGAGTCATTGCCTACACAAGGCAGGATCTGATTTATTCCCCTGAGAAGTCTGATTACCTGGGAGAAGCAAGGTAGCAAAGATCAGAATGAAAGGCTATAGCCAGACCACAGGGAGCACTGCTGGTGGGCTGCCTGCATGCCAACCCTCCCCCTCCAGAGGGGCTTCCATGGCGGCTTCATGAATCTTTTACACAGAAGGAGGAGAATCTGCTTTTGTCACAAGGGAAAGCTCATTCATCAATGGCTTCCTCTGAAGAGGGAAGTTTCATGTGGTAGGTGGTAGAGAGGAGAGTGGCTAAATCCCTCTTCCTCCAAGGAGGGGTGAAGGAAAGGGATTAAAGCAAGCCCATACCCGGAGTATTCAGAAACCAGAGACTCCTGATGCCACGGGGAGCAGGTGGGCTGCCAGAGCTCCGACGCTGGCCCCAGGTCTGCGAGGGACCATCTCTGGGGTCACCACTGACACATCCATTGAGAGGAGACATTAAGCTCTCACTGAATAGGTAACAATAAGATGCCTATGAGGCCAGCAGAGCAGTGAGCAATGCATTCCCTTGAGGTTCAAGAGACTCTTGTCCCATTAGCACACCTCTTCCCGAAGGGGACTTTTATGAAGTGGCATGTGCAGCCTTATCACCTGACCAACAGGCAAAGGCCACACCACAACCCCTCTGCACAGAGTAACCATAGAGCCCAGGCAGACTTGGTGCATAGTTGTTGGCATAACCTCACCAGCATTGGCCTGCATCTTCGCACCTCACTTGCCTAACTAACGTCGGCTACACAAAAAAAGAGCAACATGGAAGCAATGATTGAGAACACTAAGCCTGGCTCTCTGATAAATTTCTCACAAACAGCCCCCAAATCCCATCACTGGTAGAAACTTGTACAGGTGCTACAGGAGAGAATTTACACAGTCCAGTGAGTTCATGGTTAAGTGAGGAAACATATTCAAAACTCCTTCTAGAGTTATACTTCAGAAGGTAGATTCTCCATTTGCAGAGACTTACCCTTCCTGAAGAGGACATCCCCAAACTTTCCGTGGGTTTCACTGGATTTCTCTTTCATAGCTTTGAAACTGGTCTTCTTGGCAATTCTCAAAAAATCTTCCTCACAGAGGGAGAATCCAAAGAAGGCAGCAATCTTTTTCATCCCCTGTACCTGGTCCTGCCCAAAGGTACATAGCACAGAGTTGAAAACAAAAGATTTGATAGTGTGGCTGTGGCATGGAGCCAGAATCTAGTGGGAAGTGCAGCAGAGGAGGCTGTCTCCCACATATGTCACCAAGGAATTCTAAGAGCTCTAACAGAGAGGAAATCCACACATACTGCCCTCAGCTTCAAGGCTTTTTCTTCTTTCCTCAAAGCAGGTGTGCCTCTGGTAGATATGACTCCTTTCACAAACAGGCAAGAATATCCTCCTTCTAACCCACATAGGCCTCCCCCAAACATAAGAGTAGCTCAGAAAGGCACACCCTTCCAAATGGGCTGACAGGCTTGACTCAAGAGTTTCTACTTCCCCACACACATATATACCAGAAGGGTTGCATAGTACACTCATCAAGGAAGAGCTGGATGAAATGTCACACCTCTTTGAGTTCCTCGTAGCTTATTGTCATGATCCTCTCATTGTCGATGTATTTGTTCCATTCCACTAGGTGGTCAAAGTAGGATCCCCAGGCCACTGCAGAGAAAGAAGAGGTATAGCTGATAGAGTACTCCCCAAAACAGGCCCTAAATCAAATCAATCAGTCAAGACAGCTCTCTAAGCATGGCACTGGGATGGTGAAGTAGTGACCAGCTCAACATGTCTGTTCTTTCTCCTAAGGTCAGTGCAGAATGCCCCACCTATGACCACTTGGTAGCACCAAACCACAAGCTCTGCTGTGGGAATGGAAAAGTTAAGTTAAAACTTTTCATGATCTCTGTTCTGAGTTGAAGGCAAAACTGATTCTCTGGTACTCCCTGTTTCTGCTATAATATGCGCCTGTCTGTCTGTTCTGGGAGTGCCTTGGCAAGGTATGTTAGAGTAGGATTCCCATGCACAGGTCTCTGTGTATGTCCCTCATGTAAGGAGGAATGCCAGAGGATGCAGGGCAAAGTACATTTCCCATTCATGAAGTCTGGAAAGTATTCATCCCAGGAGGCAAAGGATGGCAGCAGTGTCAGGTTGTTGTAGAAGTGGTAATAGGAGACTGCTGTGTCCTTGGGGTTCCGAACTAACACAAGGATCTAGAGGAAGAAAACACATAATGTGGTTATGATTTGATGGCTGACCAAAACACCATCTTCTCAACACATCACATAGAGTCATAGTATCACAGAATCATTTAGTTTGGAAAAGACCTCTAAGATCACTGAGTCCAACCATTAACTAAGCACTGCCAAGTTCACCACTAAACCATGTCCCTAAGCACTTTTTACATGCCTCCAGGGATGGTGACTCAAGAACTTCCCTGGCAGCCAGTTCCAATGCTCAACAACCTTCCATGAATAATTTTTTTCTAATATCCAATCTAATCCTCCCCTGGTGCAACTTGAGACCATTTCCTTTTGTCCTGTCACTTGTTACTTGTGTGAAGAGACCAACCCACACCTGGCTGCAACCTCCTTTCAGGCAGTTGTAGAGAGCAATAAGGTCTCCCCTGATGCTCCTTTTCTCCAGGCTAAACAAACCCAGCTCCCTCAGCTGCTCCTCATAAGACTTGTGCTCCAGACCCTTAACCAGCTCCGTTGCCTTCTTTGGACACACTCCAGTACCTCAATATCCTTCTTATAGGATAGTGAGAGGCCCAAAACTGAACACAGTATTCAAGGTGCAGCCTCACCAGTGCCAAATACAGAGGGATAATCACTTCTCTTGTCCTGTTGGCCACACTATTTCTGATAAAAGCCAGGATGCCATTCACTCTCCTGGCCACCTGGGCACAATGCTGACTCATGTTCAGCTGGCTGTCAGCAAGCACCCCCGGGTCCTTTTCCACCAGGCAGCTTTCCAGCCACTCTTCCCAAAGCCTGTAGTGCTTCATGGGGTTGTTACGGGGTAGGACCCAGTACTTACCATAATGAACCCCATAAAATTGGCTTCTGCCCATTATCTGTCCAAATCCCTCTACGGAGACTACCAGTAAAACAACACTCCCACCCAAACTGATGTTGTCTGCAAATTTACTCGCCCACCAGACTATATAATACTGGTCTAATTTCATTTTCTTGAGAAGAAATCAGAGCTTTGGCAGGTTACTTGCCACTAATGTGAGCTTCAGGTTGAAAACGAAGCTTTTCAGTGACTCCCTTGAGACAGTTCTGACCTAGTTCTACTCCAGAAAAATGAGCTCATGGGCTACTGAACAAGAGAGACACAAGTAGGCTGTAGAAGTTCCCTAGCTTCACTCTGCAACAACTCCTATTTAAGATTATCTTAGTCTCAGCCTGTGGTGGCTTTTTCACAGGTACCCTGGTCTTGGAAGCAAGTTAAAACAAAAAGAGTAACTCCTCATCTTGCTCAGTTGTCTGACACAAACCTGGAAGCACCTTTCTGAAGGAGATTTGAAGGGACAGTTAACCCAGAGACAAACCCACCAACAGCCCTCTTGAGCCAGTGTCATGGGTTTAACCTGTGGCTGGGTTTTAGGGGAGGGGGTAGGGGATAGGGTGGCTTCTGTTAGAAGCTACTAGAACCTTTCACTGTCCTATGAAAAGCCAATGGTAGTCAGTTCTGGGAGGGATTTCCTGCTGCTGGCCAAGGCTGAGCCAATGAGATGCACTTCTGTGATAATATATTTAAGAAGGGGGGAGGAGAAGGTTCTTGGGCAGAAGAAGTTCCATTGTGGGAGAATGAGCAGTCACCAAGGTCAGTGCAGCCGGAGGGGGAGGCCTTCCCCCCCCCCCTCCACCAGAAGCAGGGCAAAGACTTAGAGCTGAAGGCCCTGCAGCCCATAAAGAACCATTGGAGTGCAGAAAACCCTCCTGCAGCCTATGGAGGAGTCCATGCTGGAGCAGGAGGATACATGAAGGAGGCTGTGACCCCCTGTGGGAGGCCCAAAATGGAGCAAAGTCCTGCTGAAGATCTGTGACCCGTGGAGAGGGAAGCCCACACCAGAGCAGTTTTTTCTGGGTAGGACTTGTGGCCCCCATGGGAGACCCACATAGGTACAGCTCAACCCACGAAGAACTGCACCCCCTTGGGGAAGTAGTCCATGGGGCAACAGATTGAAAAGAACTGTTGCCCGAGGGGTGGATGGACTCACACTGGAGAGGTTGATCAAGGACTGTCTCTCGTGGGAAGGACCCCACGGGACAGGGGAAGGACTCAGAGCTTTAGCTCCCCCATAGTCCATGGTGAAGACCATGGTGGAGCAGGCTGCTCCCTGCAGCCCACGGAAGGGTGACCCACAGGTGCAGCAGACTTGGAAGACCTGTTGCCCTATGGGTAGACTTCTCTTCCTGCACTGATGCAGGGGGAGGAGGGAGAACATGGAAGGAAGGAGGGGTGGTTGGAAAGTGTGTTTAAGACTGTTTTATTTCTTACTCTGTAGCTCTTATTCCGTTAGTAAAAAATTTAAGTTTTATCCTCACTCTGAGTTTGTTTTGCCTGTTAACACTGCCTTCTCTCAATCCTTATCTCCACTCATGAAATTCCTTTGCTGTTTTTTTCTTCCTCTCTCCTTGTCCAGCTGCAGAGGGAGGAGGGAGGGTAGTGGAGTGGTTTTAATATGCCCCTGGCATCTGGACAGGGTCAAGCCATAATAGTGAGCAGAGATGCTGCTGGGAGAGGATGTTTTTTCACAGCCTTAGCTCACAGAGCTGTCCCTTCAACCTTGGAAATCTACCTGTCTATTGACCAGCCCAGGTGAAAAAGCAGAAAACCCATCTCACACAGAGAGAAGTTAATTTGAGGTGAAAAAGCTTTTGCAGTGTGCTGCAAAGAGAAGACTCACCTTGCTTTGGAAAATGGATGGAGGCAAGAGTTGAGGTGTCAGATGGGTTACTATAATTCTTCTGGAAGGCAGTTTCTTCATCCTCTTTAAAGAAAGTAGGGAGAAAGGTGACAAGACAGAAGTAGCTTATTCAGTGATGTGCCTTTTCAAGAACTGTGGGTCCAAAGAATAAGGATCTTATCCCTTGGAAAACTCACAGGAATGCATGCACTGGTGGTGTAGGCTTCTGCCAGCCTCTGCCACCAAACATCATTTTGCATGAGACAGGCCTGAGGACAGGACACCCAAAAGAAAGGTCTTACTGATCAAATCCACTGGTTCCAGGGCAGGAGTACCCTGTGGCTTCTCAGCCCTGTGTGCCCTCTGAATGCCTTTGTATTGAGACACCAAGGGCAATAGCACATGCTACTTGTGTAGAACATAGCTGTTGTTAAGGCTCTAGGCTCTTCATTACCTCTGAGATCAGCAATTCTCTTTCAGCTATTACTACTTGTAAGTAGAGCAGTGCCAATATTTTAATTTCCTGCTTACCTCATATATTCCAGGATCTCCAAATTCTAGACGCTGAAACGTCTCTACCTTCTTTTCAGCATTTATTCTCTCTTTTCTTTCCTCTTCTGTATATTTGGCATCCGCCAACTCCTGCACCATTTGTTCAAGCCAGTTGGTTCCTGAAAGGATAAGGACACCACAAGTGCATTCATTCAACTGCACTTTTCCATGTAAACCTGGCTGACAGGATATATTGTCAATCTGGTTCCATGTGAACCACTTTTGTTCTATATTGTACTTTAGCCTTTCAACAAGTATGTGTGCTGGTTTTGCTGCAATGGAATTAATTTTCCCCATAGTAGCTGGTATGGGGCTATGTTTTGGATTTGTGCTGAAAACAGTGTTGATAACACAGAGACATTTTTGTTACACCAGGCAATGCTTACACAGCACCAAGGCCTTCTCACAATGAGCCACCAGAGAGTAGATTGAAGGTGCACAAGAAATTAAAAGAGGACACAGCTGGGACAGCTGACCCCAACTGACCTAAAGAATATTCCCCAAAGGGGAATGTTGAGAGTCATGGTACTTGTCTTACCAAGTCACCGTCACATGTTATGGAGCCCTGGAGATGGCTGAACATCTGTCTGCCACTAAGAAATAATTCCTTATTTTGCTTTGCTTGCACACACGGTTCTTGTTTGACCTGCTAAACTGTCTGTATTTCAACTCATGACTTCGCTCACTTTTACCATTCTGTTTCTCTCCCCCATCCCACCAGGACTGAATTAGTGAGTGGCCCCTGTGCGGCTGAGTTGCCAGCTGAGGTTAAGTCACGACACTGGGCAATAATAAACAAGGGTATGACAAAAGCCAACAGGGACAGAGCTGTCAAGCAGATACTGTGAAGTGCCACCCTGCTTGCTTCAGAAACACATCCCATCCCTCAATAGAAGCAGAAGCACACCTCCATTGCTCTTATAATGAAGACAGTGCCTTTATCACAACAAGGATGTATGAATGCATTGATGTAAAAACAAACAAACAAACAAAATCCCAACCCCCCACTCCCCCCAAAAAAAACACTGTCATAGGAAAGCACTGTAAAAGATTTCAGCGGGTGGTGAATCTCCACCCTCAAATGTTTCAAAACTCTTCTGGACAAGGCCTTGAACAACCAAACCTAACTTTGAAGGTTAGCTCTTTCCCTGGCTTTGAACAGGAGGTTGTATTATTTGACCTCCAGATATGCCTTACAACTTCAATTCATGATCCTATGAACTCTGATGTTACCATAAGCTTTTCTCGGGAATTACTACTGTGCTAAATGATGGCTCAAACTTCTAGATTGCAGCACTTTGTATTTGACTACTGATCAAAAAAACAAGACCCACCTGATTTAGGATAGCCTACTAGAATCACATCATCGCTCCTGGCTTCAAAGGATTTCAGAGCTTCCAAAGTCTCTGGGCTACTAACTGAAGCAGGGAATAAAATATCTCTGTAGGAAAACAGCATGTCTTCTGGGGCAATCTTTTCACCCTCTGAAAGATATTTGTCCATTAATTCAATGTTTCTTTCAGTATTTCTGGTCATGTTTGTATCCTTCCGTAACTCTTCCAAAACAAATACAGACTGTCTTTCCACAATGCAGGAAAGCTTTATGCAACATGTTAGCAAATCAGACTGGGTGTTCACTCAGGGTTGAAGGTACAAGTCACTGATTAACTCTGTACTATGTTAACCCCTTTGTACATTACAGGGCTGGAGACTGACAATGGAGGCATAGGGTCTTTGCTGCAGCCGATATTAGGAATAGGATATATTGGGGCAACAACTAATAACATTCAAAATGTTAAATGAAACAAAAGCAAGACCTATAAAAGGTATTCCCTGAAATATCTTCAACTGTTGAGCACTGCAATGCAATTTGCAAACTGGACAAGTGGCATGTAGTGCACATGTGGACAGTGAATCTCAACCTGGCTTATTGACTACGTTGGTGGATACACATCCACCATGGCTTCCTTACAGATGGTGGCTCTGTCCTGAAGCCAGTCCCTGTAACATCATCACTTCAGGCAGTATCTACAGAGTTAAGGACAAGTACCATTTAAGCCAGAATTCTCATGATGAAATACTCACATTTGAGACTTTTACGTCACCAAATCCTACAGGAGGGTCACTTTCATGTGAAGATCAATACTTAGGTTCTGCATTAATGTGAATCAAATTCTACCTGTATTACTTCAGTTCCATTTCTCTCTTCTAACATCCATAATTTAATCTTTGGGTGAAATTGTTCTTTATGTGGCTGTTATTTGTATTCTAGCTGATACCTTTTTAGAAGATAAATAGTACTGAGGTGCAAAAATAGATATCTCCACAGATCATCCAAACAGACAGACAATATAGAAAGGCTTAATTGCCCTGTTGAGGGCCTTTCACTCTTCATGCCCTGGAATATAGTATGAGTCCTGTTCACTATCCGTATATCAAACCCTTGCATCACATACTTGTCTCTTTCATCATAAATGGCTGTTAGACACTCACTTAGGAAATCTAAACAGAAGTTTAATTAAGCATGAGGAGGTGTAAAATCAAAAGCATAACTGTAAGACTTGGAAGATCGATAAAAGTTACTTACAAACAATAATTTAAAATTTTTTTTCTCTCAAAATGCAGAACCATCAAAATGGACCATTTTATTGGAAATATTTTCTCTAGCAGTGCTATTTTACTCATAAAAGTTTGAGACTGTTCATACATTATATTCTCTGCCAGTTTTCTTTTTGTTATTGTTTTCAGTTTTCTGTCCATGTGTTTACTCTGAGTTGCAAAGGAAAATTTCCTTCCCCTTGCCAACACTAAAGAGCATCAAGAAATTAAAACTTTTTTTCTCCTGTCTTTGGAGCCAGCCACCTGAATCCTGAGGGAACCAGATAAGACCTCAACATGAAATTTAACAACTTGTCACCTGAGCTACTGGGGACAAAGGTGCCTCCAGGTCCTTTAACCCTTAGACTCTGATCTCTGCTTATGAGCAGGGTGCTCGATGCTGTCACAGTCACCTGTCAGTCTGCTCAGGAGCTGCAGAGGTGAGGGCTCAGAACAGCCCTGTCTCTCTGGAGAGACTAGGGCTAACCAGGTGCCCTGAGGATGCCGGGAGTCCCAGTCCCAGCGCTGTCTGTCCAACAGCCAGTGTCTCAGGGTAAGCAGGTGACTGACTCATATGGCACAACTCATATGGTCACCAGGCAAAACTCTGAGTTGTTCAGTTACCTACAGGAAAATGTGCCTTGGATAGAAATGCTGATATCAGAAGCATTTGCAGTACAACATAAAGAGAAAATTCACCTTAGCCAAAGATTTACCTTAGCCTTGTTTTGAAAAATGGATTGGGGAAAAGACATGAAGTAGGAGATGGGTTAATATAATTTTTCTTGTTTGTTCATCTTCTTAAAGCAAACAGCAAAAAATACAATGTAAGCATCCCCTTCAGTGGAAATATATCATTTCAGGAATCATAAGTAACAAAAAAGACTAGACCAAAAAGAAAGATAATTTTTTTTTTATTTTGAAGATTGGTAAGGATCTAGCAGTAATAACGTTTGAAAGCCACTCCTATTGTGTTAGACAATTATATCTTAACCTGAAAAGAGATTCCCAAATTTTTCTGAATTGATTCTCACACTCACTGACTTCACCTCTGCTGACGTTTCACTCTCTCATAATGTTAGTCATCCATCAAGTTTCCTTGCCTACATTAATTTTCTAACATGGCAGCTTGCCTTCTTTATCCTCTTCTCTCCCACCTCCTTACTCCACTAAAGGAAAGGGCCCACAGTGCATCTTCAACAGGGCAAAAGCATGTGAGGTGTTACTGCTTGAATAGCTCGGTCCTTCAGAGTGAGACTGTAAGGGCACAAAGAGACTAAACCCAAGCCTTGGGATGACACAGGAGAGGATAAACTGCAGAAACAGGTCATGGTCTGGTTTTCTGTCAGATCAGTGAGGACATGTCTATGTTTTATTTTAGTTTAGGTGTTTTCCAACTAATTTTAATCTAGTTCAATAGAGTAATGGTGATGTATTATTATCTGAGGAATTACCCAAAGAGCTTGTCTTTCCCCGGGAAGCCGTGTAGCATCCAGTGTTTGCAAAGATCGTTTCCAGACTCAGTAACAACTACCTACATAATCTCTCACCCAAAAATGCTACAAAGGTAACAGTTTTTTTAAGATTAATGATTTCACCTTCTTAACTAAAATAAATGTGATATGCAGATTTACTTCACAAAGTCCATTGTGCCTGGAAAGCCTCACTGCAAGGGAAGGCTCTTGTGTGGTGTCAGCGTCTGAAAAACCAAAAGCTGCCATGAAGCTGCAATGGGATTCAGCCAGTGAGAATCCAGAATGCAATTCTAAAATCTGGTGTGGATCTAATTGGGGGGAAATTATCACATAAGAAGTCAGACTTGATAGACTTTTGCCTGTTCCATAAACTGAGGTGTTTGGTGAACACGGGCAGGGGATCAGTAAGAATGCAGAAAGCTGGTCTGCTATATTACAAGATGCCTACAAGTATAGATCTAGAAGGGACTTCATGTGAATTTCTAGTCCTCACCTTGTACTGCTAAAGTATCAAGCATGCTTATTTTTTCCCTGACAGATGAAATTTCTTTGCAGTCTGTGCAGAGCATCATTCTCCAGTTAAGATTGACCTGCAAACAAAGGCTGTAATAATTATTGCCTGTGTTTTAGATATGGTACTCCTGTTACAGTAGACCTGAATAAGATTTGGCCATTTTTTTCCAGCACTGTCACCATGTTAGTTCTTGCTGAGTGTGATTCCTCAGGTCTTTTCATGCCAACTGCTGCATCACTGGTTTACCCCCATTGAGTACCTGTGCCTTTGCTTTCTCTTTTCTAAATGTAGTGTTTTACACTTACCTTTACTGATCTTTGTGTTTGCTAATCTTTTCAATTTGCTATGTTGTTTCAAATTGTTTCCCCATTTTCTCAAGTACTTTCAGCCGTCTATTCTGATCTCCAGTCTTAAAAGTCAATCATTTATGACACAGTATGTGATATTAGTTTGTCCAGCAGTGCTAAGAACAATGTTGAATATGACCAGGACTCACCACTAGAGGATACTGCTTTAATTGACCTCCCAGTTTTGCTGTCATCCAGTATATGCAGTGTGACCATGAGCATGCAACCAAGTTCATAACATCCATGTAAACAAGTGGATATTCCTGAAAGTATTGCTGCTGATGACCCTGCTTCTGAATGCCTTTTGTAGCTGTTGTATGAATTGATAGGAACACAAATCTACTTTCAGTACTTCAATTTCATTTCTATAACCACATTTGTACATTGCCATCTCCACATACAAGGCCATACATTTCTGGATTTACATTGTGTCTCTTCTGTCATATAATTTCAGACCCTTTCTGATGCTGTCACCTATTGTATCTCTTGTCTATGGCTTATTCAAGAGGTAAGTTATCTTTTAAAGGAGGAACACAAACAGCTGTGACATGATTTATACTTACGACCTTATTATCCTCAAAATGTTTCACGGAGGGTTGCTTGATCATATTTGCTAGTGCATTTCCAGGTATCAAGTTAAGGTGACTGCTCTATTTTGATTCTTTCTCAAGTTTTTAACACAGCTATTACATATGTTCTCCAAGGCATCTGGTACCTTTCTGGGTTCTTACAGATAATTTGTAGTTGTTCAAAGATGACTTGCATCAGGATTTTCAGCTGCTCTGCCTTTGAATTCATTCATTTTTTTCTAAATATTAAGCATTCCTATTTCTTCGCAAAACTCTACATGTCTACATATGTCCAGGCAGAACCAACAAGCTTTAAAAGAGTGAAGCAAAAAGTCACTTTATTATTCCTAGTGTATATTTTATTTCTATTTCTTATCTGCTTAGTGGTGAATCTATAAATTGGGTGTGGTTTTTCCTATTTTTAATTCAACTGTACTTAAAGAACTTAATTTTGCTTCTTTTCCCAGAACAGGTGGCTGAAGTGCAGTTAGACCCTGGACAGGTCTGAAATACTGTGTCCACAGAGCCAAATAGCAATGGCAGTACAATATAGCTGAGTATAGTAATGTCTCACACCATCACTCTTGGAACTCCCACTCTCTCAACAGAACCATTTTCAAGAAAGACACTGACAAACTGGAAGGGTTCCAAAGGAGGACCACAAAGATGAGAAGGCTCAGGGACAACCTCATCACAGTATTTCAGTAGTTAAAGGGCAGCAACAAAGAGGACAGAGGTTCTCTATTCACAAGGAGCCTATGGAGAAGGTAACAGGCAGTGGGTTCATGTTGCATGAGGAGGGGTTTCATCTTAATATAAGAAAAAATTTTTTACAGTGAGAACAATCATTCACTGAAACAACCTCTCCAGAAATGCGGTAGAGTCTGTCCTCATCACTGGAGGTCTTCAAGATGCAATAGTCTCATCTAGGCTCCCTTTCTCATGAAAGGTTGGATCGTATCATTTTTCAAGATCTCTTCCATCCTGGGCTGTTCTATGTTCCTATAAAAGCAGTGACTCTGAGTGAATTTTTCCAGTTGACACCAGCCTATAATCTGAAATCCATCCTCACATTTTGCATTCAGAGAGATTAAAATCCTTAAGAATGCTGATCCTCATTCCCTTTCTTTCTTCTCTCTCTAGCTCTGATCCAGTTTGTGCTGAAGTCATGGAAGACATCCTTTGTCATTAGGTTTGTGTCAGATCCATATTTTTGCTAGTAATCTTTTCTGTGAAGATGTTTCTTGATTTGAAACATTTTTGAAGAAAAAATTATCTGCACAGTAAATAACTACAAAATAGTCTACAAAGATGGGGTTTGGCTAGAAAGAAAAGGGTCATTTCCCTCCAGGTGACAGCTACTTCAACAGGGCTGTTGAATTTTTGTGAATATGATTAGTTGACACATCTTGCAGCAAATGGGTGTAGCCAAAGCAAGCCAAAGATCTCACCATAAAACTAAAGCCTACTATTCATCACTGTCACTATAAAGGCTGCTGCAATGTGTTTATTAGAGTAATTCTAACAGTGCTTTGATAATTTGATCTAATTTTCCAGTATATAGTATTCAGATTATCAGCGTGTGCCTCAAGAAGTTCTTGTTCTGACCACATTTTATTACTCTTCAGGCTTTACAGTACACTTCATACTTTAACTTTGTTCCAAGTTTAGTTCCTCCTACATATTCTTCAAATGCTTTGTCCATTTTCTCATTCTGATCTTCACTGAAAAGATTCTTCCAGTCACTTACAGCACCTTCAGAGAAGTAAAGAAACTTGAAAATCAAGAAAAATTTTTCTATACATCTGTCATTCTTATTCCATTGTGCACTAAATACTGTTGATCTATTTTTCCAGATAAAACTTTACTCATTTCTGCACCAATATAATTTTGTGAACTCAATGGAGCTACATATCTGCGAAACTGCTATAATGCCAAAGAGAATACTCCTCTTCCGGTGACTGTGTTCAAAAAGGCAGCCTAAAGTCCTGGTCCCCTACAGCTCCCTACTCCAGTCAGTTATGACTGACAAAGTGAAAGATCATGAGGAATTGATTAAGAATTATCTCGCAGGAGGCAGAGCTGGGTTTCTGCTCCTTTGGCAGCTAGAGTTTTTATCTAATGACTTCTTTAACGTAAACTGCATAAATAGATTGACAGCCAGTTGGCCTTCCCATTTCCGTGTCCCCTACACTATGCTGCAAAAATAGTTCCCTTTTGTTGCCCCTCCTCTGTGTACCTGATTCTTGCATGTTTGACTTAGTCCCAACCTGTAAGAGTGAACAGGGGTTTGGCAGTGGCCCTCCTAAAAAGTGTGATCGTGCCACTCAGGTTGAGTTTGGCCCAGTGCTGCCTGCTCGGATAAGCCTCTAGTGGCTGAACAATCAGTGACATAGGCACAGAGGTGAAGCGGAGTTCAGACACATGACAGTTCCTCCTTCCTGACAGCTGTCTGCGGGCCTATAAAATTTGCTCTGTTGCCAGAGCCTTGCTGGGTATCTTTCTCACCAGTGCTCCTTGAATAGCTTTCTCAAGTGAAATAGTGATAACCTGTTGATACTAACTTGCAATGCTAATATGTGTGCAAAAAAATAGAAGCAAAGAATGGCCCGAGTTCTTGAGAATGTGACATTTCTACCTCTGAACCGCTTGGAGCTTCCTACCTTTGCGAAAGAGAACGTTGCCTAATGCCCCATGGGTCTTCTGTGAGTTCTTCTTCATTGACTGAAAGCTGCTCCTCTCTACCACAAGCTGAAGCTCCTCCTCAGTCACTGAAATCCCTAAGAAAGCAGCTATGTTTTTCACACCCACGACAGGATTCTGGAAAGGGGAATGTAACATACCACATGACATTCAAGCAAATTACACTGCTTTCCAAGGCGTTTACAATTCCCTACATCTCTCTGCTAGCTACATATATGGAATATTCATAGAGTTCAGTAGGACTAGAGTAATACATAGTGTTTCTCTTCTCCATAATTATTTTAGAGGAGATATGAGCTGTTTCCCTATAGATTACAAAAGACGGTGCACCATTTACAGCTGAACAAAATCTACACTGTTGAATATATAAAAGCTCCTCCCAGAAAATTACTGGGGATTTTGATTTACAATTATTTGGGCTTATAGCACAGCTAAATAAAAAACAATAATAATTTTCTCAAGCGAAATTTTAAAAGGTTTTTGAGTTTGCATTTTACCTTTTCTTTACGTAAAATAAGAATCTATCCCACACAGTTTGCATACCCTACATGAATATAATGGTGACTTGGTTTAGGAAAAAATGCTCTTTGAAGTATAAAATATTTGTAATTATTGATAAACCCATCTCTTTTAGCTCTTCATAAGTTATTGTCATAACATTTTCTTCATCAGCATAGTTGTTCCATTTGGAAAGGTATTCGAAGTAGGATCCCCAGACCACTAAATAGAACAAAAGAATCCTAAGATATGTCATAAATGAACATTAGACAAGCTCCTTAAAAAATAAACTAAATTTTATTCATTAAGTTGATCTCTCAGCCATGAGCACTATTAATCATGTCTATGGCAGAGTTTACACCCTTCTGTGGAAATTATAGGTTTTGCTCCAGGCTGTTCTGGCATATGCACAAGTCTCAGGGATATGATACAATTTGTAAGTTGGAACAGTAAAACTTAGTATCTCAGGGCAAATGGGACTCCACCAAAGAGCTATCAGTACTCAAACCATCTTGCAGACTCCCTTAATCCACTTTGAAACCTTGCGTAACCCTCCCTTCAGCTGGCTGTGTGCTATGCTAAACTTATGCAATTTAAACGAGTGTTATTATTTTCTCTCCTTTTTAATGCATTAGACTTAGTCCAAATAATTCCTTTCATCCTATTTGGCATGTAGGTGTTTATATGCCTGTATGGACACAAGATGATGGACACTGGAGAGGAGGGGTGAAGGGGATCCAAGACAGAGATAAGGAAGAATTACTTCTTCTAGAAAAAATATCAGTTTAGACAAGTTAAAGCAGCTTGTGGAACTGCAGTTTTGACAGGGACTTATCCTTAAGCAGTAAGACAAGTACGGTAAACTTAGTGCAAATGCCTAACTTTCTCTCTTTAATCTCTGCTTTTGTACTGTAAACCAAAAATTCCTAGTGGAGCTGATTTACTGAAGTAAAGCTTTTTTAGACAAAGACAAAGCATTGAATAATTGACACAGCCAGAATAATATACTGTACCTTTCTTTGTCATGAAATCTGTGAAGAAATCATCCCAGGTCTCATAGGAGGGAAGAATAGCCAGGCCATTGGAAAAATGGTAAAAAGATGTAGCTAAATCTTTTGGGTTACGAATCAATAACAATATCTAGAAAAAAAATTAATTATTTGTACAGAAAGATGTAACAAACTATAGCATGAAAACAATAATAATGTATTTTATAACTGCAGTTGGGGAATTTCTAATATCTTGTATGCTACTTGCAGACATAGCAATTTCATTCCAAATTAAGAAGGTGAAGTATTTAACTTTGCTTTGGAACCATGTGAAGATGATTGCCTTTAATTATTAAAGTATTTTATACAGATTAACCAAATTAATTATGCAGAATCTAAGTATGTTTTGCTCAATGCAAGCATAATTCATCATTTAGGTAGCAGGGAAAAAATCACAAAAATGCAAATTCTCTCTGAAACTTGACACACTGAAGCCCTCACTTGTGACAACACCACAAAATGTCTCCCATGGGAAACTGTGTCAAAATGCATTTTGCCTCTGGAGGATTTGTTCAAGCCCTGCAACTCCCTTATGGAGACTGTCACAAAGGTGCCAATAAGGACAAACAGAGGTTAAGTGAGATGAATGGCAGTACTTAAACAGGCATGTAGAAATGGCCAGGCTAAACACTTAAGTATAAGAGTGATTCTGAAAATTGGCAGAAAAGTACTTCATTGGCTATAAAAAAAAAAAAAGCTGTTGAAGTGTTTGCTTTCAAGACATTAAAATCAGCACTTACCTTGACTTTATTTTTGAAGATAGACTTGGGAAGGTTTTCAGGACGGAGATGAGTAACCATAAATCTTGGAGAAGGTAATTTGGTCATTCACTTTAGGAATTGGAAGGAGGAGAGTGGACAGTTCAGTTAGTACAAATATTCTTTCCAACAGCCTATTCTAAAATGTTGCCTTGCTAAACTTATCAAGTTATTGGCCGATAAAAGCACTTTTCTGTGTGTGTATGTTTTACCCTGGGATATTAGTGGGCTGCTGTGAGTAGCTATAATCTTCAAAAATCCCTGAGAATGAGTGACTAGAGAAAGACTATCCATTGTTAATTCTCTTTAGTGATAATGAATTTGACATGTTCTGTTAGACAAGGGCTCAAATCTGAAGGTAAGATACAGACTCTAACTGGGTATATGTGAAAGCTGAAGGATCTCAAGGACTGGATGCAGGGGTGAGGAGGAAGAGCTAGTAAAAGACACAAAAGCTAGTATTTCATTATTTGATATTTCTTGAAGCTCTTCTTAAACACAGAAGATGCTATGTTGAATTTCTGCAGTTCTTGTGTATCTAATGGGTAAGTGCTCCTGTCACTCTCATTGAAGTGTTCGTTTATTCCTCACCATTTGGCAATCCAGACAAGATTCATCCTGACCAGATGCCATATACAGAAAAGTGGGAGAGTTCTTTTCAAACAGTGGAATATTTCACACTCCATATATTCAGTATTTGAAGCACATAATTTCAATAATTGTATACATATTCTCTTCCCACCTCATATTTCTCAGCATCTCCAACTTCAAGGTAGGGGAATTCTAGTTCTTCATCATTCACACCGCTTTCTCTATCCTGTGTTTTCTTTTCAGATATGTTTATCAGGTCAGTTAAGATTTGACTTAGCCAGTTTGTGCCTGAAAGAGGAAAAATACAGAATTTCTTGTAAAAGTTTTAGAATAAACAGAAATGGATTTTCCAGGAAAGCCAGGAGGAAGGTAGTACTACGAGGTGAGTTACCTGGTCTCCTTTCATCATGTGATACAATCACAGCTGACTATCTGGACAATCACCTGTCAGGGTCCTACCTTTGGTCCTCTGTGCTGTATGTACTCATTTGCTTTGCCAATAGGAAAAAAATTCTCTGAAGTGACATTTCCTATACACTTTTATTATATTTTTCTCAAAACATACCAAAGAGTCTGTAGCGAACTCTCATCTTTAGTCTACCATTTCCTGACTTCTGGATACTGGGTTCCTACATCTTTCTCACTACAGTCTTAACAACTGCAGTCTGGTGCAAGCATTTCTTCAAAAAGAAAATATGATAAAAAACCAAAAACCTTGCAATCCTTTCAGCTCTAAGACAGTGCAAACCCAGTTGCTGGAGGAGAGAAAGTACTAGATTAAAATGGATATGAGACACATCTGACCCAAACCTGTGGCTCTGATAAGGGGCAGCACAGGGTGCTCTCAGGCAGAAGGAGCAAAGGAGCAAAAGTTGTAAACTTACACTCCTAGCAAAGATCTCCTGATTTCCTAATAAGCATTGAACAATGTGATCATTTCAAGTGCTAAAAAATATTTTGATAGCTATTTCCTGACATCTATATGAAACAAACTAAAGAAAATGCAGCATGGCATGGGAAGGTACGGAAAGCTCAATTCCGTGTAAAAATACAAAGCTGTTAACTTTACAAAGATAAATGTGACAGCAGATCCTGTAATATCAAGGGATCTCATTATGTGTGGTGTAAATCAGTGTATTTTAATTCTCTCCAATTCAGGCATTTAACTTCATAACTATGAAAAGTAAAGATAACAAATACCTTTACATGTTATAGAAAAGAAATCATTGTTTTTCTCAGTCTCTTGGAAAATTTCCTACATAAAGTCCTCATAACTAATTATCTTGTGCTTTTTGAGAACAAAATACATTTCACAAAATTTTGTGAACATTCTAAATACAATTATTTAATATAATATATATTATATCATATATATTGAATATATTAATACAAATCCACCTATTTGCAATTATATTACATTACTTAACAAAAAAGCAAAATATATTCACCAGATTTAGGGTATCCTGCCAAAAGTACATCATCACTTCTGGATTCAAACGACTCCAAGGCTCTGAATGTTTCAGGACTACAAATAGTGACAGGGTAGAGAGTTCCATTGTAAGAAAACAGCAGTTCATCACGAGGCAGTAAACTGGCAGCCGCTATTCCTTTATCTATAAGATCAGTAAAATATTTCCTGGACTTATCCATTCTACTTCTCTCTCTCACACACACAGGCTCTGACACAGTGTGAAATGCTATCTAGAAAAAGAAACCCACATGCTACCTTTTTATAGGTGCTTGATTTGTTGGGGGTTTTTTGAGTTTTGTTTGTTTGGAGGTTTTTTGGACCCTATGATAATAATTTATTACTCTTTCTGAACTGTGCCACTCCAAAGAGTAATTTGAACCTTTTGAAATCGATAAAAGTTGAACATAAGATAAACAACCAAATGCAATTTCATTCTAGGAAAAAGGGCTTAAATAATTTCAAAATATCATGCCTGTCACATGAAAAGGGGCAGAAAAGAAGAATTTTCTGTCCAACCTGTATTAATTTATTTTTTTGGCTATCACTGTCCCCCAGGAGATCAAAGCCTTTTAACGTCCAAAACAGTCCTTTAGCGTCTCACCTAATGAGACCCTTGGCTTAACAGATTCACCAAGACAGATAGGACATTTGATACCTTTTATATGGGGACCGCACTTAATAGCGGTAGAAAAACTCCTCAGCAGGTTTCTCCTATGAGTTATTTCACTGTCGACAAAACTGTCAGCACCTGAAAACGAACTCACTCCAACAGTTCACAAAATAACATGTTTATTAATACATATCTGTGATAATATATGAGGTTTGCTGTGCCTGGAATAGGGTCCAACTGCAAAAAAAGCACACTTACAGTATGCAGTAATAACAATAATATAAAGCATAGGCCCACACGCTAAAGCAAAAGCAACTTACAATGAAGTAATAAGTAAAAATTTTGAAGTTGTATGGAACAAAAGTAAAATTAGTGCATATGCATAAAGCAATCGCTAATCTCATGGCATTCCAAGAAGGTGGAGGGAGGAAAGGTAGCCCTTTGGTTACCTCCGCAGCATTGATGGAACTTCTCCCTGATTTTTGCTTATGCCCAATATCTTTTTATACCTTTTTCTTTAGGCAGTTTGAGTGGCTATACTCAATAAACTAATTTTTGGAGTGATAGACAGATGAAATAGGCCCAAGGGTCCACTTCCCAAGTTCGGGGGCCAGAATGTTCAGGAAGAAAGGCCGTGTTATCTCCATATCACTCCTTTCTTTGTTTTAACCCTTTTATCAGTTCCTGGGAATGTCTCCCCTGGTGATGGGTTTTTCCAGGAAACAATCAGGAGTCTTTTTCTTCTTTTGTGTGGCCTTACCTATCACCTTATACTACCAACAAAAATCCATGATTACAACACAGAGTTTGTAAAAAAAAAATAACAAAATAGAATTACATGAATTGCAGACTGGAATTTAAATGTCAAAATCAAAATCCTAAAGGCAATTAATCTCTTTCCAGTACTCACTCTCCTGGGGTTTTCTTTTTTTTTATTATCTCACCAAAGTTAGATCAAACTTGTTGAGATTGGGAGAGGAAATGTTCAGTGTGCTAGAGACTGAGCTGTGGGCAGTCCTGTGAGGGTAGCAGACTGCTTCCTCCAGCTGGTGCCCAGGACGGCACAGGGGCACATGCAGTCCTTGGCCACTGTTCAGACTGTGGTACAGAATTCTATTTTTCTGGTGGTTCCACAAAAATAACTTATTTATACATTTCCTTAATGAGCTCAATCATTGTTTAACAATTGATCAGTCATTCCTCAGTTGGTAATAATATAACCTCAGCTACAATGATTAGCATTTATAATGTACTTAAGGTGATGAGCTTCTGAGTGCACTGACCTCAGCAGAAAAACTGGTGTTAGGTTTTAATACTCAAGTCTCTGTCAAAAGGATGGATGGGTCACAAGGAACAAGAAAATAGCTCTTCCAAAAAATTTATGCCAAGCACTTAAATACCATGCTTTCTTATCTCCAGCTTTTGAATGCTGGCTGTTAGGCACTTGAAGCACGAGGACCAGCAACTACCTACCTGTGTACTTTTGCCATTTGCTCTCTCTGAGGGATTCACATCTGGTCCCTGAGGCATGGGATGACGTAGCCCTACATTTTTGCTTCAATTTTGTTCAATTCATACAAAATCTTTTGTTTTTCCCTTCGTCTCCTATTCTCTGTATGGCCGCATCAACATAGAAAGACTACCTATGTACAAGCATGATCTGAAACAAGTGGATAACACGTGGCTCTTCCTGGATCCATCTGCTGAACAAGATCTGGGCCAAAGGGCAGCCAGTTGGCCCCACCTGCATCACTGCACTGATGTTAGCTAAGAATTGCTGAACCGTGAAATAGCACCTTTGCTGATTCTTGAGGTATAACCAGCCACCCTAGCAAAACAAAAAGCAGCTTGCTTATTTTTTTGCCTTACATTCCCTTGTCGTTAAACTGTTGTGGACTGAAACTAAGAAAATGTGTTTAACTGGTATTTTTACCTGCTGGCAAAAAAAAAAAAATTAGTTTGGACAGTCCTCCCTCAGGATGGAAAAAGAGAGAAAATGGTATGTAAATTATTAATGTATCTCATGCAATAGCATAGTGTTGGAGTAGGATTTCCATAACAGAAAGACAGCTCATTTCAATCCTACACTTCACTTATCACAGAATAATCCAACGAAATTTTGATAGCAAAAATGCAGAGGGTTTCCTGTGTATTTTTGCAAGAGAGGGCAGTCAGGTCAATTATTCTCTGGAGGCATGTTTTATCCCTAGGAACCAGAAAAAAAAAACCACCAACAAAACAAACCAAACCAAACCAAAAAAACCAAAAAAACCAACCAACCAACCAAAAAACCAAGAAATGTATTAATGGAGAAAAAAAACAATTAGAAGACATAAGTCATGAGGAGTGATATTGAGGGGAGTTAAATTTCTTAGCAAAAAAAGCAACAGCACCAAGATTTACAAATAGGAGCCTTTGATAGAGGCACCTGCCATGACAGCTGAGCTGGAAGATGGGAGCAGTGTACCTCACACCGTATGCATTACACAAGACCCTCCGATCCTGTCTAATACTGAACCAAGAGACTGACGGAAAGTATCAGTTGATTTAAAGTTTCTAAGAAGCATCTTAAAAAACACAGAGATTAAAAACAGATTAAAGGATTTTATAATCTCCAGATTAATGGTATTTGTTGTTCAAGCCACCACAGTTCCTCTAAAGGCTTCTGGCTTCCCATGTGTGAAGGTTTGGAAAAACAATTTTAAAAAGCTAATTTCAAAAGTTTTTTTACAATTTATTCTAATGTGTGTAGAGAAGTTTTCAGACAGGCACAACTCAGTATGGGGGAAGGGAATTATATTACAAGTTATTACTTACACAATAAATACTATAATACATATATATACATATATATAACAATTTTAACTATCTCTTCTATGGTGAAACAATAAATATACTTAGACCATCTCTCCTTTCCTTCAAAAAAAAGTCCAGAAAGAAAGAAGTCTTTTTTTCACTTTCAGGCCACAGCTCTTCCAAATTAATTTCTGTGGTACTTGGAAGTGTCTCTTATGTTTAAGGCAGCAGTTTCAATTAGAATTCTTCTTTCTTCTAAGGGGTGTGGGGGGTCTGCCCCCACTTCTCGCTCCTCGGCCACCTCGTCCAAGGGTGTTACCATAGGTTTCAGGGGAATACCCGTGTCACCACGTCTACAGCACGAAGTGCAAGCAGTTGAAGTTTAGTGTCTTTATCCCCTGCTCTTGCTCTGTGAAGGTTCTGGTCCATGGGGACGAGCTCTCAGGAGACTTCTTTGGGGATTTCTACCCCTCCTCCCTGGAGTCAAAGAGTTCTAAGGCCTTTTAGTTTAGTCCTTACCCTAGAACTAATTCCAACCAACTCTCTCTCTGTTGGATGTTCCTCCGTCTCTCAGTCTGGTCCATGCCATATTTGCTGTTCATCTGCTATTTTCTCTTGCTCCTGGAGTTCCTTTGCACAGTCTTTTGGCCAGAAGCCCGTCTTGGCTCACGGCCACAGCTCTCTGTTGTGCTGCTTTTGCCGCTGCTTTTCTCTCCCCCCCACTGCGAGGGGGGGAAGAAGATGCAACCCAGGGGGTCTTCCCAATCTTACGGGGTCCCCCTCGATCACCAGCTTCAGTGGGGGCTTCACTCAGCGCTGCTCCTGGCGCCCTGGCCCCCCTCTAACATGTGGAGTTTCAAGGCATGGCTGCTTCTGCTTCCAGCTACGCAGTTAAAATTAACATCTTCTCTTCCAGTTTTGTATGTAACTTCCGCAGGGTGCATCAAATTTTAATTGGTCCAGTATCAAAAACACTACCCCCTGGGGCAGACTATCACCAGCCCCAGGGGAGAAAGGTTTTTCCAAACCACCACACCATGCTTACCAGACCTGGTCTTTCCAGACTGTGGAGCTTTACAGAAGGAGGATGGTGACTTTTCTGTGATAGCTACAGGACACTGCCATCTGGCCCTTGTGTAGTGGACTGATCTGCTTATGCAGATCCATTCTCTGTTAAATGAAACAACAAAGCATAGTCTCGAAACTTGTGCTTTCATGTGGTAAATGAGAAGAGATGGGGTTTTATAACAATTCCTATGATCTGCATTAATCTCAGTAAAACTCTGGAGGAGTCTTCCATAAATTATTCCTCTAAAATAATCTAATAAGTTTTAAGATGGATCCATTAAGATTGATCCATTCAAGAAGGTACATTAAAATTCCCCTGATCATTCATCTGCAAAAAAAGAAAAGCCTGAAGGAGTAAGGACGTTCTCTGGGCTTCTACGAATGAGCCCATGAAAAGTAGGGCTTGAAGCAGAATTGGCTCTATAATGAAAATGCCATATGTGGCATTTTCTCCTTTGAATAATTCAGTATGTGGCTGATCAGAGTGGAGTCAAAGCCTCCAAACACAGCCCAGGGTAGTAGGGTGTCTTAGGTTATGTGATAAAAGCTTGTCTGCACACCCACAAAGAAGTACAGCAAAACAATGGAGAGGGAGCCCAAATAATACCCTGACCAGATACTCCCATGCCATTGGCTCATCAAAGGCCTGTCTACACAACCTCAGAGGAGCTCAGGCAGGCCAGAGACCAAGTTAAGGACTTTTAC